CTACTAAGATATATCTCATAAACTAAATAGAAATCTCCCAAAGGAAAGGGAAGTTTTGCTTTTATCTTCACAGGAAAACTCATCTCCAGAAAGCAAATGACACTGCATGGGTAGATACTTAAGAAGAGAAGGAAGCTATAACCATCAAGCAAAGGAAACATGTCATATGGTAAATTTTACAGCTTTCTCTCAGAGAACTCTATTTCTCTTTATTTCCTAGTCCCTATTAAAGTAAACCAATACTGGATTTAGAGGTGGATTTGGCTTTCCTACTTGATCTTCAATCAAGTGAATCCCATCCAACACGGACTAGATACAATCCATTCAAGACTTTCACTATACTAACATTTTCTTCCTACAGTAACCCACAAGGATGTCGTCATCCCATTTCAGCAGGAAGTAACTTGGGGGATGCTACACCCCCATTGTTGTCACTTAGGATAGTGTATATATCTAGTTAGGCATAGCTTCCTATTGTTTATGGTTGGGATTGGAAGGAGGGGTTCAGGCTTGGGCAACTCTTTCAGAGGACTTTAGAGTTTAGTTAAAATAGATAGTTAGGATGTGACATAAGCAGATTGTTCTAGCTTCTTATATCTCAACTTTATGGTCATTAATTTTGGATACTTTATATTGTTAAGGTTTAATCCTCTTTTAGACTAAAAGGGGAATTGTAGGGGATGTTGTAGCCACACCTGCTTAGGGGCTGGCTACAGGTGTGCCTGACCATGCCTGCGAGGGTGTGGTCAGGGTGACATAGGAAAAGCTGAAGAGTGAGGGATGTTTATGTGGCGGCCCTGCTTTTGCTCTCATCTTTGGCTTGCTGTACTTCTGCTGCCCTGCTGGCTGGCTAAGTCGCTCTGTGAGTAAGGCTTTTCCCCATTAAATTCCCTTGTATTTTTTCCTGGCTCCGTATTGATAATTTCCCACATTAATTTCCATATATATGAAAATAATTAAAAACTGCTGAGAAATGATGCATTTATTTGTTGTAAATACAGTGCTTCATTCAGTTTGTTATTGAATGCTGTCATTTTAAATGCAGTGTTTAATATTGAAAGCTCTGAAATTCAGGGTGTAGCATATGCATTTCCGTTTAATATTTATGATCACTATTTGTGTCAAGAACAAATATATTGATATATTTGTTTTATGGTAGTCAGTCCAAATATATTGGGAACATAAAACTTGCTTGTTTCTACATATCATGTTTTATACTACAAAGTCACATTTTCTCCAACAGAAGTTGTATTCCTTATTAATATCACCAGTGATATTTTTCAAAATTAAGAGTGATTTAGGACAAAACATTTCAAATATTAGAATTTATGTTTCTTTTTGATGTACATACACTAAAATTTGTTTCTCACAAATATTAGAGCTCAAAAAAAAAACATACATTCCCCAATTTTCTCTTTTGATCTTTGCAAAAGAGAAGGAGAAACTCGATTCACCTTTCATGGTCTTTTCTTTGAATCTCATGGCCTACTTTCAAACATCAGTAAAAAGTTTTGCAAAACTGTTTATTTCCAGACATGAGCATTAAGTTGAAACCAAAAGCAATAATATAACAGAATAGTATAAAAATGATAGTGGTGTGTACTGCACAGATCAACTTCTAGCATTATGAGAAAATAAATGGTAGTAATAATAGTCTATATTGTGTTTTAATACTCAGTATTAAATCTATGACATAGCAGGGATATATTTTTTAAAATATCTGTTGTCATCATCATTATGTGTGTGGGCATGTGCACATATATGCACATGTGATATGACTTATGTAGAGATCAGGGGATAATAGTGTGAAGTCAGTCCTCCTTTTACATTTATGTGAGTTCTGGGGGATTAAACTTTGGTTTTCAGGATTGTGTGGCAGCCTTACCCACTAAGCCATCTTGTCAGCCCAAACACTACACATTTAAATTAAATGCTATTATAATTATGATTTACTTATTTTTAGATGCAGGTTATAGTGTGTGCTCCATAACATGGACAAAAATTCATTTAATATTTCTTTGTTCATAGTTGTCTGGGTGAATGAAAAAAAAAAACACAATATGTGTAAAGACTAAGGAGAATTCCAAGTCAGAAAAACTGAGAAAAAGCAAGTATGTCTCATGATTTTTATATATAAATATTTGATTGTACATCATTCTTAATCCAGTAAAACCTTTGTTTGTAGTATTGTAGTCTCATTCACACCCATCAGTGCTGAAAGTGCTTTAAGACCACCACTGAATAAATACTAACCAATGCTGCCTTTATTGCCCAAAACGTAGAAAGTAAAATGTCACCCATAAAGAACTCATATATAGGCAAAAAAACATCACTGAATATTTTGGACTTTTTTATTTTATTAGTTAAATATAATAGTAACTATATAAAAAGAAACGTTTTTTGTAAACTATGCTGGAAATTTTTTGATGACTAATGGTAACTGTTTTGCTGGGCTGGGTGGTGCACACTTTTATTCTTCCACCCTGGAGGCAGAGGCAGGTGGAGTTCTGTGAGTTCAAGACCAGCCTGCTCTATATAGATAGTTCCCGGCCACAAGGGCCACATAGTGACACTTGTTCTCAAAAAAAGGAAGAAAAACAATAGCAAAATAGTAACTGTCTTTTCATTTTTGAAACATGTTAAGTTAAATATACAGGCACATCCACACTGATGTTATACCACACTGATTCATCTTGCACCATTAATAATGGTATTAATTACTCTCACAATTAACAAAAAGCATAGGACAACTAGATGCTTGGAAAAAGCCTTCTTGTTAAATAAACATGGATGCCTTCACTCCACTTTCTGTATGAGTAATTACATATTTACTTTAAAAAATAAAACATCACTTTAAATGTTCTGAGTAGAGAAGAACACATTAGACTGTACATCCCACCCAATACAACTTTAGTTTTCAATTAATGTCTATGATGTAACAATGCCAATGATGGGTGGCATTTAAAGGAAACCACATGTTAGTGAGTATATTATTGAATATTTAGGTGTGTTGTCTCTGGAATGAATATTGTAATGCCCGAGACTCCTGTTAGTGAAAGGTTCTTGGATGAGTATGAGTTTTTTTTCTTTCTTTCTTTTTTTTTTTTGTAAGTTTGGCTTATGCCATGTACATCTCAGTCTATAAGAATGTTTTAAAATGTGGTTAGAGTTTAAAAATAACTTTAGTGAATAACCTTCCATTGGATTTCTAGGCCAATAAACATAGAACATTAAACAAAGAGAACTGTTTACACTATTTGTTGATGATGCCTGCCAGCTGAACATTGTCTGGAGTTTTGTGATGATTATTCCTTTTCTTTTCAAAAATCATTTTTGCATTCATTTTTCCCAATATCTTTTAACTTTACATAATGGAATCATATGTTGCATTTTCTTTTGGATATCCTTTTTTCTCAGCATTGCTTTCTGGAGACAGATGCATGTTAGTGCATGAAGCTAAGGTTCATTTCAATTGCTAAGAGAGATAAATTCCACTGTGTGAGGAAGCCCTGATTTATCATCCACATGCTCCTTGATGAAATGCATATTGTTTCCAGTTTGGGTACCTTTGAATAATAAAGTTCTGAAAAAAATTGAAAGTTTATTATCTAGAACAGTTTTCAAATAGTCCTATCAGAACCACATGGAAAACTTACGTCAAAACAAATTGACCTGCTTCTTGACCTGGAGATTTTCTATAGATCAATGAGGTCACAATCATCATAGATGATGATAGACTGAGGCTGCAGTAAGCATAGGATTCAGCGGAGATAACAAAGAAAGGTCCTACTGGGTCAGATGGAAGTACTATATTCTGCCTCAACCCTGTTCCTGAAGAATGTTCTTCAGCAGAAAATTTGAACACTATTTACAGGTATATGAGATGGATTTGTCTACCTTCTTATTTTTGCTAGTACCCTGGGTATGTTATAGTATTTTATCATCATTTCAATCTCTATGTTATCAATGAGATTAAGACTGTTTTAATGTATCTCCTGATCACTTGACTCACTCAAGTCTTTCTGTGAGTTGTTCTTTTTTTATCTTTTCCTCACTTCTTTCTGCATTTTAAATAACTTAATTTTTGATCACCAGCATTTGTTAGCTATGAGCATTTTTTACTTAGGCTTTCCTTCAGTGGCTATTCTTTTTGTTCATTTTATAATATACTTTAGTAACATGAATGTTTGATCTTTAATGTGACATTTAGACACAATTTTGAATTCAGGGCTAAAGAAATACTTTGAGAAGTGATTTCTGTCTAATATCATATCTGATAATGTGGTCACTAAATTTAGGTGTCTTGTTATCATTTTATTTATGGTTAGTGCATTTTGTGTCTTTTCTAAGAAATCTTTCTTCACTTTTCTAGGTATATTCACTTCTGGATTTTTGTGGTTTTGTTGAAATTACTTATACAAGGCTCTATCTTTTCTTTTCCTTTTTTTTTCATAAGATTATATGCCATCTTAGAACTCAATTCTACAATACTTTATCATACAAAGCCAGTCACAAATTCAGCTCAGATTCAAAGGGGGACACTTACATTATACTTTATGATGACAGTATGCACAATGCTATACTACAAAGTATTTGGCATACAGTACATGACAGTGAACCTGCTAACATATATGATAGGGGTCTATAACATATATGATAGAGCCAATTAAATGATCACCATCCTCTTTGACACAGTGTGGACAGAGGCACTATTGAGACATGCTTAGGAGAGCCATCCTTGTAATGAATCCTGCCACCTTAATTCTTGAGGTGTTAAACAGCCATAAGAGAACCCAGGACAGCAAATAAGCTAAATAAGGAACTGGATGTGGCCCTTATTTATTTATTTACAAGGGGATATCTGATAGACACTATTGATTGTGCCAAGAGAAATATCCATTAGACAGATTTTGAACATCTACAAAGAGCAAGATTATGAACATTTTCAAAAGACACAATTTTCTTTTTATAGCAATTGTTTTATTTGCAATTCAAAAAGGAAAAGTATGGAATGGTTCATGAATTTGAATGTCATCCTTACTCAAGGACCATGCTAATCTTCATGTCATTCCAAATTTAGCATATGTGCTGTCAAAACAAAAACAAAACACAATTTTCAATTCAAGGATAAAGAAATGCTTTTTTGAACCTACAGCTATCCAATAGGTGAATGGCATATCTGATACTGTGATCACTTACTTTGTATATTATGTTTTCAGGTATAGAATAGCTGTATATACCTAGGTATCTTGATATGTTTTTACAGCACATGAAGAAGACAAATTTACTTTTCTCTAAAGTGATGCATTTGCTGCAGTTTAAAGTTGTTTTAAAATAGTTATTATATTTATTATATACTTCAAATATATGAAAAGGAAAGCTCTACTTTGTTCTTCATTTTCATGTAGATATTTGTACCTTGACATCCATGTGGAATTTTTTTATGCAAGCAAGAGAAGAAAAATTTGAATGGATGGATAAGTATTTATAAGATGGTCACCCGCAAAAGGCCTTCTCATATCATGCAATGAGGGGCAATTTCAAGCATCAAAGTAAGAGATCAAGGGCCACAGGACATATGTGAATGTGGAGAGGTAGTATTATGGAGTTGAGTTTTAGAGATACTTATCTTGTAAGTAAGTGTTAGTCTTAAGGTTTTGTTTTTTTGGTGGCTTGGCCAAAGAATATAATTAGATTTATGTTCTGCCAAGTTCCAAAGATGGAAGTAGCCCAGCATATAATTAAATCCTACAGAAATGGTTCCAGGTAAGAAGTTATTGGAGCCTGGACTAAAGCAGCATCAGAAAAATTCAGTAGGGGAAGAATAAAAACTATTTCTAGAGTGAAAGGTAGATTGCCACGCATACATGCAAATGAAAGGAAGAATCCAGGATAATCCTTAAATTTAGGTCTGGCCTGGTGACAAATACCTTTAGTCTCAGCACTCAGGAGGCAGAATAGGTAGATCTGTGAGTTCAGGGCTAGACTGGTTTACATAGAGAGTTCCAGATAAGCCTGTGCAACATAGTGATACTCTGTCTCAAAAATAAGCAAGTGTAGTGAGAAATCCACATTTTAACTGGGATTCATTAAGATATAAAAAAGGGAAAAATACACTCATGAATACAGGATATGATAAATCCAGTTATAGAGAGCTTGTAAAGCTTGGGACCAATCACATCTACTTCACAACGCCTGACCTGGTCCTCATAACCCAAGAGAGCAGGAGCGCTCCCTCCTTCCTTCACATCAGCAGGGGAGAAGCACTGCCTCTATCAGTCCAGATAGCCCAAAGTCATGGGAATACCCTCTATAAACAAGAAATTAGTAGAAATAAGCATTAAGGTTACTTGATCAGGTACTATTTGTGAACAGTTACTTACCAAGACAGAGGGCATATGTGAAGAAAGTTTGGGAAGGAAAGGATAGCAACTTCAGCTTTGAATACACTGAGGTTGAGCATAACAGTGGCATGTTGAGGATTGTGAGATACTTTGCAGATTGAGTATGTGGATGTGTTGGTTTGGTTTATACATTCCTGTGAACAGAACAGAAGAAATTTTAAGGACTGATTCTAAACAATCTCAATACCATCATGTCATAGTGACCTATTTATCTTTTCAATATTAAAAATTTTATGTCTTAAAATTGACTTTGTAATTAGACTAGCCATGTAATGGCATGATGGAGTGTGAGCCACACCCATAAAACACTAAGCCACCTCTGTTGGAAATGGAGGCTTGATAAAGAATAATTTTCTCTTTGTTTGGTCAGTGATATGTCAATTCTGTTTTCTAATTTGATTTTTGAAGGACTGGAGATAAAATCTAAGGTCCTGTATTAGTATTTTTTCTGTGATAAAACAACACAATCAAGGCAATTTATTAAAAAAAGAATCTATTTGGGCTTATGATTCCAGAGGCTTAAGAGTCTTTAGTGACCAGGAAGCATGGAAGGCATGGGGGCAGGTACAAGAACTGGAGAGCTTACTTCTTGAACCACAAGCACAAAGCAGAGAGACCAAAGTAGAAAGGGTGAGTCTTTGACCTCTGAAAGTCCACCTTCAGTGACACACTACAACAAAGCCAGACCTCCTAATCATCCCCAAACAGCATCACTAACTGAAGATAAAGTATTCAGATGTAGAGTCTCATACAAACACACATACAAGCTCACTACCACATGGTCTCACTCATTAGATCAGGCAAATCCTGATTGGCTATTTATACCAAGTTATTCTCTCACACATAATCCCCCTGACACTACCCATGAAGGGCTGGGATGACAGGTTTGTGCTACCATACACAGACAATTGGAATTCTGTAAGAACAATGAATAATACATGATGCCTGTAGGACACACTTTGAATTACAGTTTTCTAGAGGAAACATGACATAAATAAAAATGCTCATTTACAATATCTAATATTTTAATAAGTTTCAGTTACATATAAACATTAAGTTGAACAAAGAAGTAAATCTTCAGCTTTCTCAGCCCTTGTTGTCCATAGCCAAAACTCCAGGGTATGGATTTCTCCAGACACTTATACATGTTAGGCACCTTTCACCCACAATTGCTGTCCCAAATACATCCAAAGCTCTGGGAATGTGGCTTAATAGTCAGTGACACAAAAAGGCAAAACCAGATACAAAAGCTGATGTCCAGTGATTACTGCCAATAGAACTTGCACAGGCTGGTGTTACCTCTGACATAATGCCTTCCAGCTAAACTGCACATGTTATTTTGTACTTTGGGACAAGTGCTGCTCTTCAGGGAAAACTTCATCTCTGAGTGTTATCTTCAGGGATCTTTTCAGCATGGTGGCACATTATCACCATCTCTTGTTGATTATTTTCATGATGGAACAAGCTGAGGTAAGGACATGCCCCCTTTTACCAGCAGAAGAACAGTGCACAGGAATTTATGGTTGATCTCAAGAGATGCTGCAAGAGCTGTCGTTGGATGCAGACAACCAGCACTGAGGTAGCCCAAGGCCCTACCTCTTTGCTGTAGGAGACTAGAACATTCTTTTATCATTTTCTTTCTTTTTGCTATTTAGAATCTGTAATAGATTCAAGGATAAAAAGAACCCAGTTCTACTCCATTATCAAAGAATTGAGAACCAACTCATCATTTGCATGTGCATTTAAATATACTTAGTTTTTAAATAATGTATTGCCTTATGAAACATAACCGATGAAAAGTTGCAAATGAAAATCTAAATGTTTTGTAACTGTGAAATACAGGTTGTTTTGTGAATGAAAAGACTTTGAATACATACACATTAATGATAATTTTGGGATACAAGTCTAGGTTCAGTGAGAAATCTCATACATTGCTTAGCAACTACACTTTTCCCCATTAGCTAATGAACTCAAGTACCTTTTCATAAACCTTTGGCCATTTTTATGTTTTCTAGAAGAAATGCTTAGTCAAGTCATTTGCCTGTTTGTTTTTTATAAACTCTGAAGTGTGCTTTGATAGTGTTCTTTTTGAATTTTAAATTTCCTATTCATTTTACAATCCACTCATAGTTTCCTCACTCTCCCCTCCTCCGGCTCCCTTTCTGCCTCCTACCTACCCCACCCTCCACCATTTTCCTATTTTTGAAATTGGACTGTTTTTAAATTCACTTTTTTTTCTTGCTACTAGGGTACAGGAGAATTTATTAACTCCTTATCAGATCTATAGTTTTCAAATATTTTCTACTTGCTAGCCTGCTTCCCACATTCCGAGTTGTCTATTTGGCTTGCTACAGTTAACTTTCAAATGTCTCTCATTTCTGTTTGTCTGTGCTGCCTGTGCGATGAGTATCACATCCAGAAATGAATTATCCAGACCAATGTCATAGAGCTTGCTCTTCCAGTAGCTTTGAGGTTTTAGGTCTTAAATGGGAATTTACCAGGCTCTGTTAAGTTTGATTCATGGTATAAGATAAAAGCCTGAGCCAGTTTTCTTTCATGCTCAGCCCTAGTTTTTCAACAACCACACTGATTTCCATGGTGGCTGTTCATGTTTGGTCTCCCACCAGAAACAGATGAGTGTTCCCCTTACCCCATATCCTCACAGCCTGATCTGCCATTGCTTTTATTGATCTTGGCCATTCTGATTTGTGTAAGTTGAAATCTCAAAGTAGTTTTGTTTTGCATTTAAGTTTTTGAACAATTCTTCAAGTGTTTCTTAGCCATGTGAGTTTCCATTTTTAAAAATTCTCTGTTTAGATCTATATTCTATTTTTAAATTGGGTTATTTGTTTTCTTGATACCTGCTTTTTGAGTTCTTTATATATTTTGGATATTAGCCCTCTGTAGGATGTGTAGTTAGAAGAAAAAACTTTTCCCATTCTATAATCTGCTACTTTGTCTGAATTGTGGTGTCCTTTGACATACAGAAACTTTTCAATTTCATGAGGTCCTACTTATCAATTGTTGATCTTAGTGCCTAAACGAACAGTATTCTGTTCAGAGAGTCATTTCGTGTTCCAATGAATTCAAGGCTATTCCCCATTTTCTCTTCTATCAGGTTCAGTGTATCTGACCTTATTTTGAGGTCATTGATCCATCTGTGTTGAGTTTGGTACATGGCACTAATATGGATATATTTGCATTCTTCTACATGCAGCTATAGTTTGATTAGCATCATTTATTGAAGATGCTATCTTTTTTATGGTATGAATTTCTAGCTTCTTTACCAAAAACAAATTGTCCATTGGTGTATGGATTTATGTCTGGATTTTTAGTTCTATTCCATTGATCAAAATGTCTGTTTTTGTACCAATACCATGATATTGTATCACAATACAATCTGATGTGGGGATGATGACACCTCCAGAAACCTACTGTTTAATTATTCAGAAGTGTTTTAACTATCTTGAGGTTTTTGTGTTTCTATATGTAGCTTAAAAGTGTTCTTTCAAGCTTTGTGAAGAATTGTGAAGGAATTTTGATGGGAATTGCACGGGATCTATAGGTTCCTATTGTATAATGGAAAATTTTACTATATCTTATAAATCCTGCACATGAGAAATCTTTCCATCTTTCTATCTTTATTTTATTTCTTTGTTACCTGTAATAAAGTGTTTTTCAATCACTCAAGTCTTTAACT